GGGACAAAAAAAATCGGCCCTGGCATTTTGGGCCAGAGCGGCCCAATACATCAATCAAAATGCTCCACATCTGTGCACGCCCTTGAATATGTTTACCAACTCCCACTCTTTAAAAGCACAAAAGCCATAAATAGGAAATAACGAGAGTTGACAAATTAAAAACTTTTTTTTTTAAATTTATTATTATAATATATATATATATATTCAGACTCACATTATTTATTACATCAGAGCGAAACAAATCATCCATCCAACACTTCTCGGAGTTTAGTTTTCTTGGAATAAATATCTTTTTGAAGCAAATTTCGTTTGCTATAATTTGTATCTTAATTTTAATGTGTCTTTTGTTGGTCAGTTTATCTATAAACAAGAACAACGAATAACCTCTGAGGTGAATTGCTTCAAAACACAAACTGCTGTGAGATTTTGTTGCTTTGTTAAATTAAATAATAATCTAGACTACATAAAATCGAATTTAAATATTCACAGTTTCAGAGAAGCCTGTATTAAACTGTTTACACTATTAAGGACTAATTTGAATAAGCAGGGCATGCTTTAGCAATTTATTCGCAGCACTGAACATGTTCCCAGATTACCTTGGAAGAACAAACTCGATTCGAAGGCTGAGAGAACTCAGAAACTCATTGTGAGAATGGAGATGTCGACATGTTTGTGCCAGTCTGTCAGATAAAATAGCCTAAAACACCTTAATATTTAAGAAAAGCTAGTTAAAGTTATTTAACCAATGATTGATCTTATCCCCCCCTGACCTACCCATAAGTAAATATGCAGCCTGTTTTTTGATTACCCGACCGGCGCATTAACAGCAGCACCTGCTGAGATAGCCGAGAAATAATATGCACAGTGTCACCCACACGACAGAAAAAAATTAAACATGCTAGACTTTCTGCAATGGTGTCGTGAGGAATCGCAGACATCGGTTGTAGTGAACCATGCCACGTTACATGAGAAGAAACGATTGAATCTTGTGTCACGATGGCCAATTGTCGTTTACGAATCACCAAATCACCATCATGCCAAAATCGTGACAAACTTCTGTGATCTGACCGGGGCTTAAACCAACAAAGCAGGATCTGAATGAGCTCTTGTTAATTAGAGACAGGAGTGTTTAATCAGCTCTGCAGGAAGGTAGATCTCCAGGAACTGGTGTGAGCACTCCTGGTTTAGATATTTGGACTAGAAACAAGACGAAACTAAATGTAAGAATAGCACTATTTTACAATGTATGGCTCACGCCTGTGTGTGTTTTCCTCCATTGCAGCAGATGTACATCGCCCAGGTCCTGCAGGACCCAAACTCAGACGAGACTGGAGCAGGCAGTGGAGAAGACGACGGTCAGGGCTCCTCGCAGGACGAGGAGATGATCAACGCCGGAAACAGCCTGAACGAAGCCGATTTCCAGTCCGGAGAGGACAGTCTGATCGCCAACGAAGTCCACCAGTAACACAGCAGAGCGCCTCATGGCCTTCATCTCTCTGTTTGTGTCCTGGTCTGACGCTGTGAACACAATCGGCTCGAAACATCAGCACCTTAGAAACCCACGTCTGCCAAAACACAGACTGTACATACAGTAAAGCACACGCCAGCAAATCATCTCCTCATGTGCATGAGCGCCAGAAGCACAAGCAAACATCCCGGATCCATCCTCCTGCTTAAAAAAAAAAAAAAAGTCCTGATTTGGTTTTTAGTACCCACACGCCTCAGGAAAAAGGAGAACAAATAGCAGGCTCGCCTTAACAGCGGAATAATTCGGCAGCGCTGCAGAACCGGCTCCATTTGCTTGCTTCTTCTTCCTTCGCCTGAACGATTGGATTAATGAAACGACCTCTGCAATAGAAAATCCCGGCTCCTGCATCTTCAACCGCGTTCGCTGTACAGAACACTACTGACGCTCCTGCTTGCAGGATTCTTCTCCCTAATGTACAGTATTTCCAGAGACGCGCACATATGTGTGTGTGTGTGTGTGTGTGTGTTGTCACTGAACGACCCATATTCCTACCTTTCTTTCTTTTGGTACTTTTAATGCTCATTATGCCTTTAACAGATGTGTTTGTACGCCTGCAAACGGAGTAGCGAAGCTCTCGTAGCACAGTAGAAAGCGCTCGCCGCTCTAACAGACGTTTAAAGGGATGCACTGCAAAGAAAGACTGTTTCCGTTGTCTTGTTTCTAGTCCAAATATCTAAAAAGTGTTAAATCAGGAAGCATTTTCTAGACGAGCAAAAAATATTGTGTTGTTTCAGAAATAATGAGTCAAAATTCAGTGTGTTCTTCCTTTAAATAAGCTGAATGATCTACCAATGGGGTAAACAGAATAATGTTACATCAAAGACTCAACTAGATTAATTAGCTGACCCCATTGGCTGATTATTTAGCTTGTTTTAAGGAACAATGCACCTACTTTTGACTTATTTTTTTTTACAAAATTTAAGATATTTGGACTAGAAACAAGACAGAAATGGTCCCACTTTATATTAGGTGGCCTTAAATAATATGTAGTTGCACAGAAAGTGTATACCTGCATGTAGTAATTATTTGTGTAATGTCATTTATAATCACACTGTTGACCATCCTTTACACCAGGCATGTCCAAACTCGGTCCTGGGGGGCCGGTGTCCTGCAAAGTTTAGTTCCAACCCCAATCAGACACACCTGGGCTAGCTGATCAAGCTCTTAGGCTTTCTAGAAACATCCGTGCAGGTGTGTTGAAGCAATTTGGAGCTAAAATCTGCAGGACACCGGCCCTCCAGGATTGAGTTTGGACACCCCTGCTTCACACCTTAGCCCAACTTAAACCCACCCATACCATCAAACCTGTCCCTGACAATACCCATATCTCATCTTAAGGGTTTTGCAATACATTGTGAACAGTAAGGACATCGTACTTGCATCCAAAAATAAATGCAAAGTAGTTAAGGCCACTTAAAATAAATTGGGACCAAAACTCTAATTAAGAAGAGCAGGTTCCATTTATATTAAGTGTCTTTAACTACTACTTGCGTCACAATATAAATAAAATGTAATTAATGTGTTCATAATACATTGCAGGAGACCTCTTCTGCTCTTTGGGTGGGGTACAGGTAGGGTTGATGACAGGTTTGGTGGTGTGGGTAGGTTTTAAAAGTGGGTTAAGTTGTAAGAGAGTGTAATTATCAATGTAATTACAGATGCAATTACATGCAGGTATTTAATCAAGCATATGTGCAATGTAAAAGCATGTATTTACACAATATGTACAATGCAGCAAGTGATTCATTTCAGTCTAAGTACATATTAATTAAGGCCTTTTAATATAAAGTGGGACCGAAAAGCATTTTCTGCAGTGTAGTTCGCCCAAAATCTGTCATCATTTATTCACCTTTACTTGTTTATTTTACTACTTTCCTTCTTCTACTGAACACAAAAGAAGATATTTAGTAAAATGTTGGAAACTGATAACCATTGACTTCCATAGTATGTGTTTTTCTATTTATTTTAGGCTGATTTTTTCCTTTGAAAGTCAAAAAACTAGGTTATGTTAGGATAGGTGACTTTATTTGTTACCCGAAGGTTTGCAGTCAAGAGTTCTCATTTCATAATAGTGCCACATACAAAACTCACATAATGACAACAAGAAATGTACATAAATACAGGTAATACAGTATTATACAGTGACTCCTGATGATACACTGTCTAAAATATGTTAATGAACAGTTACTGATGTGTTTTGTCTTTATTCAGGGTTGTGAATTGCATTATGGGATGTTGATCTCTGCTCTGTCCACATTTATTGCTGTAAATTCAACTCTACAGTTTAACAAAGTGACTATTATAGTGACATTTTAGTAGCTTAAAATAATATAATAAATAATGTATAGGGGAATAAGTCTGCAAAATAGCAGAAAATGTGCTGATAGTTTATTACATGGTGTTTGTAGCCTAATATACAACACCAACACGGACAATACAGCACTTTACACTTTTAAACATGTTCATAAAAGTCACTTTTTCCAACTTTTTAAGGTTAAAAGATTTTGAAATAAAGATAATAATGCAATTCAAAAGCATAAATAAATGGGAAAATGTCAAATTAAAACAAAAATAATCAATAATAAATAATAAATAGAGAAATAAGTGGGTAAAATAGCAGAAAATGTGCTGGCAATTTATTGCAAAGTGTTTGTAACCTAATATACAACACCAACCCAGGCAATACAGCACTTTACACTCTTAAAAAATGTTTATTAAAGCCAATTTTTCCAACTTTTTCAAGGTTAAAAGGTCCTGAAAGAAAGATCAAGACCCCATGATGCAATTCAAAATCATAAACAAATGGGAAGATGTCAAATTAGAGCAAAAATAATCTCAAAAATATGGAAAACTTCACATTTTTCTGATATATTTTAGTGTATAATGAGGTCTTGTAAAGCAAAACAATGGTCTATACTTCATTATTGCTTTAAACCATAGTATTATTTCTACAATGGAAGTCAATGGTTACCCATTTTCAGCATTCTTTAAAATATCTACTTTCATATTCGACAGAAAAAAGCAAGTAAATAGTGACTAAATGCTCATTTTTTGGGTGAACTGCCCCCTTTGTGAAGATTCATGTGGTTTGACCTGAAAACTGCCAACTCGGATGTCGTCAAACAGTGCTTTTAGACTTTAATGACCAGCGAGAGTCTCTGTCGGTGCCTGCAGTTTAGCGAGACCTTTTGGGAGAAATCTGGAAATGCGTTTTGTTGGTACGGATGAGTTTCCTTTTTCTATTCGTCTAGTGAATGACATGTAGCCGTCATGTCAGTCTTTTCTACAGAGGTATGGAGCCTGCAATCACGTCCAGCAGTTTTAGTGCGCTAGATGAAGGAAATAATTACAGCTTTCTCAACGTTAGAGAGCACAACATGGCTGCAAGCTGAGAAAATGATTATTATTTATTTTAAAAATGTACAAAAAATATATTTAAATTGATGGTTTGCTTTAAAATGAACTCCTCGCCCTCAGGCTGTGCTAGATCTGACCTTTTTAATATTTTTTTTTATCAGTAGAACATTAAAAAATATTTATTTTAAGCTGATATTTTCCCTTGGTTAGGTTAGGTTACTTTATTTATAGCCGCAGGTATATTTAGTTTGCAGTCAAGAGTCCTCAGTTCATAACAGTGCCACTTAAAAAAAACTCACATACAACAATAACTGGACATAAATACAGATGATACAGACTAATACAGTGACTCCTAATGATACACTCTCTAGAATATCTGTTAATGAACAGTTACTGATGTGTTTTCTCTTTATTTAGGGTTGTGAATTGCATTTTGGGATGTTGATGTCTGCTCTGTCCACTTCTGATGTTGAAAATTCAACTCTACAGTTTAACCAAGTGACTTTTAATGACATTTTAGTAGCTTGCGCTAATTTATTAAATAATATCTAGAGAAAAAAGTCTTTAAAAGAGCAGAACATTTGCTGTCAGTTCATTACAATGTGTTTGTAGCGTAATATACAACACCAACCCAGACAATATAGCACTTTACACTGTTAAACGTGTTCAATTTTTCCAACTTTTTCAAGGTTAAAATATGTTGAATGAAAGGTTAAGGCCCCGTGATGCCATTCAAAAGCATAAATAAGTGGGAAAATGTCTAATTAAAACAAAAATATTCCCAAAAATATGAAAAAACTGCAAATTTATCAGATATTTTTAGTGCATAATAAGGTCTTGTGAAGCAAAACAATGGACTATACCTCATTATTGCTTTAATCCATAGTGTTTGTTTTTTTCTACAATTAAAGTCAATGGTTACCCATTATCAGCATTCTTCAAACTATCTACTTTCATAAAGCAATTCCAAAGCATAAATAAATGAGAAAATGTCAAATTAGAACAAATATTATCCCAAAAATATGGAAAACTGCTAAATTACGGATATTTTACAGTGTTTATTGAGGTCGAGTGAAGCAAAAAAAATAAGGTCAGAACATTATTTACTTCTTTATAACCTTAATGCACAACCTCTGCCAACAGTATTGATTCTGTTTTATTTATATTGTTTTTACTTTATTTGTCATTATATGAATCCAGTTATATTTATATAATGTATTTAAATTTACAATTCTGATTACAAACTAATTGGTGGTTCATTCCGCTGTGGTGATTCTTGATAAATCAGAGACTAAGCTGAAGGTTAGTGAGTGAGGGTTTAAGAAAAAAAAAAGTATCTTTAAAATCTTTAATGCTCTACTGATGGAAAACAATCTCATTTATAGCCTGATGGCAAATAAAAAAATTCAATGTGAACTATCCCTTTAATTGGGGGTGGATCGCTGTCAGACTTCTGCATTGATTAGATCTGCACATCTTTGATTAAAATGCCAGTCTGAGCGGTTTCTATTGGCCGGTAACTGAAGCCAGGGCTGTTTTAGTCAACAATCAGGTTTGTTTTCGTTCTGCAAACTGACCCGTGAGGGATTAAAGTGCGACATGCGCAGATCTGATGGAACTCGGGTTTCTTTTTGAGCTCAATACTGACCTTAGTCGAGGATCAATATACAGGACAATACAAGCGGATGGACCTCAATCATGAAAAATGGATTCTGCTTGTGTTTCATTCATGATCAAACACAAGATCTCCTCTGACTAAGGTCTGTTTCTGTTATTATTCTCACAATATGTCATGTGTTTTACATGCTGCTGCACATATTCCTGTCATTTAAAGGGTTAGTTCACTCAAAAATGAGCATTCTGTATTTAATTACTCGCATTAAACACCCTGAGGCGTTCATTTATCGATAAAACTCAAATGAAGATATTTTAGATGAAATCCTGGAGCTCTCTCATCCTCTATAGACTTCAATAAAGGCAAAAAAAGAGGACTCAAACCATTAAATCTGTCTTCAGTGGTTTAATCATGATGTTATGAAGCTATGTGATCACTTTTGTGCATGCAAAAATATTTTAAACAGACTTTATTCATTAGTTTCTTCTCTTTATTTTAAGTTCAGGATGTGCATTCATAAGAACTCTGTTCACTATAGTGCATGTTGTGCTTTTTTTTTCAAGTTATTATTTATTTATTTGTATTATTTTGCACACAAATCTGTTCTTGTAGCTTCATAACTCTATGAATAAACCACTGAACACAGATGAACTTGATTCTGAACGTCTCCTGCTGTCTGTGGAGGATCGGAGAGCTCCAGGATTTCATCTAAAATGAATTCATTTGTGTTTTGTCGATAAATTAAGTATTTAAAGGGTTGGAATGACTTAAAAGTGAGTGATTATTACAGAATTGTAAACATTTTAGTGAACTAACCCAGAAATAGTTTGGTTAGCAGCCCTGAAATGAAGTCTTCAGTCATTTTTGTGAGCCAGAAAGTGAAAAACGATGATGGTTTGTGTTTGTTACTGTATTCTCAAAGTCACTGGAGCTGCTGATGATGACGATTTGCAATATACAGGCTGGATTCAGCAAATAACCGGCGCACAAACAACAAAGTGACTTGAGAGATGAAATCGAACAGCCTCAGGTGTTGTTTTATTTTTCGGAAGATAAAAAACAAAACATGTTTACGTCCGTGTGTTTTTTCCTGCTCATATATTTGTTTCCCTCCATTCAGACACAAAGAGTAAAACTATGAAAGCTGTAGCT